GCCACTTTTAGATATGCGAGGCAAGCTACTCAGAAGGTCCTTGACCCTATCAGGCAGCTTATGGGCAATATCGGTAGCAATCCTTGAGGATACAGCAGGAGAACGCACCGAAGGTAGAAACCCCACCAGGTGGCATGCGCCGGACTTCAGTGCAGAGCGCGCATACTTTGTCAGATTTCCAAAGTATAGATAGAGGGGCCAGGCCTTTGCCATTCCGAAGTTCGCCAGATGCGTGGTATCTGAAAAAAACATAAGACCGGCAATTACTCGCTCCAGTGTGCAACCAGGCTCCCTTGGGAGCTTTTGCAGCTCGTCCTGGGCATCTAACCAAGAGTCGGAGGTATATAACTCGTTGAATACTCGCTCTTGGTGACTATCCAACGGATCTTTCCACATGTACTTGAAAGGTGAGAGGTGAAATGCGTTAGCTTGGACATCTGCGAAAGCTGAACGAATAACTTCGACGAGGGGACGAAAGTGGAATCCTGGAACAGTAAAAAGTCTCGCATCATCCTTCGATTTGGTGGGGATGCTAATGGTGACGTCAGCCTGGGCCCAGTCATCTGGAAACTCGATCTTATTCTTGTTGGCGTCGTTGTCCAATTCTCGTAAGCTCTTCTTCACCGAAAAGTCTTCCAGGTGCTTCAAGTCAAAGTCGTCTGCCAGCATTACATCTTTCACGAGACGGGCAACTTCAGCCTCCGATTTCTTATTGCTGCCGGAGTTCATCCAAGACATGAGTCGATAGACCGTCATGTTGGGAAAAGGGTACGGAGGTGGGAGGATGCATGTATCATTCTCTTGTACGGCTTTCGGACACGTTGTTGAAAGTAACATAGATGGGACAAATTTGTCGGGCTCAAAGGATGGGCGACGAGGGTATAGCCGGTAGAGTCCGAGAGAATTGTAACTGGTCTGGAGCGTATCTCGCAAAGTCAACAGAACTCTCCGGATCCTAGATTGAGGCGGAACTGGACTTCGAGAAGGTAAAACTTCGATATTATCTGAGTAATTACTGTCCTTGTCAGGAAGAGGAGCATCATCGAAAAATCTAGGTATTCGCCTCAGCCTACGGTGCGAAGTTTCTTCTGGAGAGTGAAAAGTAGTTTGAGCAAATATGTTGTTCAACCATAATGAATCTGAGGCATACCTAAAGTGTCGGTATCCATTGCGTTGTCAACACTATCATCGGCATCAAAGTGAGGTTGCCGCTGCTCTGAGTGTTCAAGGCTCCCTGCGGTACCAGTAGAAATGCCATCCTGCGTCCGCCTGCTTGCTGGCTCGCACGAAAAAATGGGTTTGGGACGATGATCACGCCCCACATGAGGAGCAGGTAATATTGTTGTCTAGAATTGTGTAACAATTGAACTGTCCGATTCATGGAATTCGTAGAAAATCGATCACTTACTGAAGAACTGCCTGATTCACCTCGCCGTAGCATTCCAGATGATGACCGTACCAGAGAAGCAGCTCTGGCGGCTGCTTTCATCCTTTCTTGTCATTTTTGGCTGGCTAGGACTCTGGACCGGTGATAAAATTTGCATGACGTACGATGCCTGGTAAGCCCTCGACCACTGTCTGTTGCTTTCTCCCAGGAGCAGCCTGGAGCATTGCAAGATACCATTGCGATGGCTATTAGATTGACAATGAAGAGCAAAAGAACAAGCCATAGAACTTTCTTGCGCATTCGTCGGACCCTACTGAGTTAATTAGTAGTTAGAGTGACAGTTCGAGTTGGTAGTACTCGCGTCAACTTTGGACTGGCCAGCGCTTATTACATAAGCACACCTGTGACTCCAGCTAACCACCGCTAGCTCTGGCTTCATGGCATGATCAGAACTCCGGTCAATATTATTGTTCGTTCTGGCTATCGAGCACCTGCGCCCCACAGGAGGTCAGTGAATACATTAAAGGACGCAGTGATGGCTCTTCAGCAACCGGCATGGCACCCACCTCGTCAAATTGACCAACCTGTTCTTAAGATCTTCAATTCGTTAACCAAGACCAAAGTGCGTGTCTGAACTGGGTGTTAGATCGATCTGCTGACTGCTGATATAGATAGACGGAATTTGTACCCATCGATGGTTCTCACGTCAAATGGTATAACTGCGGTCCCACAGTCTACGATGCCTCTCACATGGGTCATGCGAGGTCAGGGTTTACTCTCTGGTTGAATTTTGACATGGTTTCAGAAATTATGTCATGCAAGACATCTTGCGAAGAATAATGTCAGGCTGCTTTGGCTATGACGTGCACTTTGTTATGAATATTACCGACATAGACGATAAGGTGCGTGATCACCTAGCTGTATGATCGAAACGACGTCTTACACGCCCTGAAGATCATCGTTAGAGCGCATCAAAATTATCTCTTTTCACAATTTAGAAACTCGGCAACTGCGCTTTCAGCCGATCTACTGTCACAAGTCAGTGAAGCATGGGGGGCGCCCCATCATCATATCATCCAGGGCTAAGGCTACCTTAGATCTATGTCTGCAATTGTACAAGCCAACCTCCCGCTCTTGAAGTGCCCATCTATGTATAGAGGTTTCGACTGATCCCTCCACCAGCCGCATTGCCGTATCCTTCGACCTATCTTCTTATAGCTGCCGCGCATGTTCATACTGCTGGCCATGATGCAGTCACTTTCGAGATGTTTTACGACGCTTTCCGTGAACAATACTGTGCTTTGTTGCAGGAGGAAGCATTGGAGTGTCCCGGTGTACCCGGGATCATAGGATCAGTGCTTGTTGTGCAGCGGCTATGTAGTATTCCCACTCGCATTGTATATACTAAATAGTTCGTCTATGAAATTGAAATGCTTTGCATGGCTATAGCTGCTGCTTGAGCGGCATGATTTTGAAAGTTACAAACTTGTGACCACCATGAGGTACTATTAGTAATACTAGCAGTAGTAAACGTAAGACGCGCGAGGACCTGGCAGATGCTGTTATTGATGCTTCTCCTCCCAAGTGTGCCACTAGTACTAGTAGAGCCAGCACTCGACAGGACAATTATGGACTGGCGTCTCCGTTTCATACTTGTGCACAGCCGCTCTCATCAGCAGTACATGCACAGTACAGTATACGCCACAATCCATTCCCTCCAAGTCACCTCAAAGTAAGTAGTACGTCGATTTGTTTCCCCTTCTAGTATACCAACCACGGTGGGAAAGTGACGGCTTGTCGTCAGTCACTAGCTTGATGTTGCAAATCCTTTGTTGTTCTTGGCTGAGGACTCAAGAAAATAAAATTGTGACATATACATATTTCAAACAGATAGCTATTTGTTGCACTTGTTTTGCCATCGGATCAATGACGAATTTAAAACGATCACAAACATACACCACACAACAAGGAATAAATCTTCAACGTTGTCAACTCCTGAGATCTGTAATAGAGATTAGTATTACACGCATGCCAATCAGTGTGATAATCGCCTCACATCAACTATTGACAAATGAACTTGCTGTTGGGAGACTCCCTCTCTGAGTCCATGCCATCATTGATATCTTCCTCAGGTAGACCTAAGTTGCGTGCAAGATCCTCAATGTGATCAAGCTGTACGTCAGATACAACGAACGACCTGATATCGCAGTTATATGCACCGATATTGAAGTCTATATCGATATCAAGTTCTTGTGAGGTACGTCCGACCAAAAGCTGTTTGAAAGAGGAAGCTTCTGCATCACTACGAGCATATTCTAGAGCATCCTGCTCCAGCATTCTTTCAAGAAGCTTTGTGCGCTGCACTGATGACTCGATCTCCCAAGCTGTCGTCAGAACTCGCAAGCGCCTGGATTCGCGGGTGGCTTGCATTGCAACGACAGCTTGAGCGACAGCCTTGCTAGACATGCCTTCCAAGCCACGTTTGAATAGTTCTTTCCCCTAGGATAAATGGTCAATCATTGTGAAATTGTAGCATTGAAGGCTAACTTACCGCCTGGACATCAGTCAGAGTCATGTCAGTCTCGCTAGAGTATTTTCCGACGGACTTATGAAAAAAACGGAGCTCGATTGCATTAGGCCCATGGCCCTGTCTGTCATAAGGCTTGAACCGTCCTTTTGCATGTTGCACATAGTAAGACAGGTTTTTTGAGGGAGGGAGGCCTGGCAAGGTCAAAAGCTCATCTTCTGACGAATCATTTGTAACATCTGAGTCAGACGATGGTGATGATGGTCGGCGACTCCTGAAGCGTTTGGATGACATTCTGAGTCTCATTGGAATATCACGACAATAATGTCGCCTCCCATGAAAAGCAGAGTCGTGGTCACTGGCCCGGGCCACGGTAGATGTCTGGATGCTAGAATCACGCCAGAGATGACGGGACGACTCGAAGTCCTCATCCTGACGAGTAGGACTGAGTTGTCCGATAGAGCTTGGAGGAGGAGTAAGACAGGCGTGCATTTCTGATTCGCCAGCCTGAGAATGCCTCATAGTTAGTTGTTGGTGTGCGGCGTGTTGGAAGACTTTGAATGAAGGTTCGAAAGGCACACAGATTTCACTGTGAGACTGAAAACACTGGTATTACCTACACTTGCCATGATGTATTAATTTCCCTGGAAGGAGTTTGAACCCAGACGTTTCCTTGTAGAATTACTCGACTGTTTCATTGAGGAAACCTTGACTAAAATGGTAGGTCGGGGGGCTCATCGTAATGATAGACACGTGACATGCCGATATGGGTTGTTATCCTCGCCGTATTTGGGTAAGGCTTACAGGCCTGCTGTTGCACGCCCCGTAACCCATTAATGAATTCGAAAATTGAGCTTGACATCTACTAATAGTTCCAAGGGTTTAAGAATATAGAACTTAGAACTTCGTGTGCGCACCACTCGAAGGTCCCCGTCACATTCCAGACCGGGGACCACCAGCTCAGTTATTACATGAGTGAAAACCGAATGATGTGACGGCGTGAAAGTAAGGTTCAATCAAGAGTGACTCGGATTGGTTTGTTCAACAAAACCATTCTGGATTTGGGTAAGTCTTACTACGGCCACCATGATGCCGCATCAAGTCACTTGATTTCCGAATTCTAACTTCAAGTTTGTCACTGGCCCAGGAGTACTGCTAGTAGCTTAATCGCCATTGTGTCTGGCTCTTTGCGGTATTTCAGGTCTCTACTGGTGACTACTATACCACTGTGACAATCCTTACCATCATATTTCGTAAATTTCAAGTCAGTGTTCAAAGTTGTCATTCCCGCTAGAACTAAGCGGCTCTCTATTGAAGAAGCAGTGGCTATTGAATGGTCGAAATTTATAATGTTTGATGATCGATTGTCGATAGCATATCATAGTAGTAAGTCACACATGTAATATGCCTCGCTGTTATCATTATCATCATTACGAGCATCTGACAGCAGTGAGTCCGGCTAGCGATTCATATGCGACCGCAGCTGAAAGATACGCTGGCTGGGCATTATACCAGTAAGGGGCTCAACCAAGGAGTCACTAGTTTATCAGTAAGTACTAAAGTTAAATATCAAAGTTCAGTATTCGACCGCGGCACTTCAGCCTGACTCCGAACCACCGCCATTGTCCCTTGGCAAACATCATTATGATTCCTCCAGGCTCAGATCAAACTGCACGTCGCCAGGAGCTTGGTGATGATCATGATGTTAGCCACTGCAGCTTTCAGCCACCTCCAGACTCAAATGTCAAGATGTCCGAGTATGAATGGTCACAATGGTGGGATGAAATGATGAACCTGCCGCCAGTGGCAGACTCCGGGTCAGGCTGGCCTGACTCAGATATGCGGCCTGCCGCCTCGCTGGACATCATAGCACCGCTGTCCCATGAAAACGAGTCAAACCCGCACAACAGTTCAGCTCCTGCGCCAAGTCAGGTTCATCACACCCCCGCAGAGACCCCACTAGCCTTATCCTCCGAGGAAATTTTGGCCTTGGTCATGAGTTTCGGTGACTCGGACGCAACTGACAGTGCCCCAGAGGCTGGAGTCACGGCAGTCCCGCATCCATACACCCTTGAAGTCGCTGGCAGTGATGTTCACGCCCGCCTGTCGAATGTTCGCTTCGACCTGCCGCTATCATTGGGTCAGGTTGACTCACCGCCGCCATCCCGAAGTCGATACACCCCCTACAAAATTATTGACAGGCCTGACATTCATCGTGGCAGGCATGGTCTTAGTGACGATGCCGAACATCACGCTGGCCCATCACATCACAGCCTGATGCCAGGTGTACCACATCCTGCAGCACCATTGTCTATGACATCCGAGTTGTTGCCCCCAACTTCTGCGCTGTTCGGTCTTGAGAGCCTACCCAAGGTAAAATTGAAGGCCAAAAAGGGCATGAAACAGTCGATGCTCGACGATTCGTTTCTACTTTCATCCAAGGAAAGATCAAAAAAGGCGATTGCCAGTCTCACTGCTGTCGTAACGGCATTCAATGATCGTAAGTCTCACAATATTCATCGTAACCTGACAGCTGATATCGAGAACAGCTGAACTTACCTTGTGGTCCCGTGGGAGTGACGCCAAAAAGCACGCAGAAAAAATTGGCAAGACTGCCAAGCACCTCAGGAAAAAGGTCAAGGATATAGTTCGGACGGCAGTCTTATTTGGCTACAATTTGGATGAAGCCTTGGCAACCCAAACACAAGAGGAGATAGAGCTTACCGTCAGCAACCTTCTGCAAGGCGACGTGTTCCTATACGGAGATATCAAGGTAAGTCCGGCATTATTCTCTCCTTCAGGCTACAATATGCTCATGGCTTTACGGTCAGGTGGGAGGAGAGACTATAGTCGGCGTGCCCTTTGCGAACAGAGTAGTGCGGCATTTTGCGCAGCACGTACTGTTCCATCAACTTGACCTCCAGGAATATGTCAACCCCAGCCGAGACCTTGGGGCATTATTTGCTTTCATCGGGACATTATTTGAGTGGGCGTTGAGGGAATTGTCTACTGATGTTTTCATCCCCAGTGACTTTGACCTGTCCCGCGCCCGGGTGGCTTTCGACGAAAAGTTGAGTGGTCTCTACAAGTCAATGAGGGGCGATGTACGTAGCGTCCTAGTTGCAGGCATTTACACCCAAAGGGGGCAACCATCTTAGGGGAGTTACTCACTCTCAAGTGACGTTCATAGGGAAGTCTGGTATTGCTTGGACGAGCCGGTTCAATTAGTATGGTGCTAGTATCGCAAATGTACTATATACATGATAGTGTGCAAATATGACAATGATGCGAAGGGTATGCTTGATAGAGTAAAGTTTGAACACATGGACTCATACACTTGGGCCTGCACTGCACCCAGCCTCTATGTCCCATTTAAGATGTGAAGGGATGGGATTAGCAGGGCAAGTTACTTTTGTCATGGTTATTCCTATCATGATTATCAGGCTGCTCCTGTGTGACTCCTATTTGACAGCGGAAAACACCGGCTAAGAGCTAAACCCCAGTGAGAAACGGTCCTAGCCATATCTCCGGAAAACGACGGAAATATTGTGACAATATTCACGTCGATTTCCGGAGAAAAATGAGACTTATAGTCGATGTTTAGCGACTCGCATCGAGCGAGATATCGTGTCATCGAGTGTGTTTGTGTAGCGTATATTCCAATATATTCCCGTAGTTCCCAATTGATATGCACATCGACACAAATATAGCGAAATCAATTGTATTCTTGAGGCCGAAACGTTACAAAAGCAATAACGACGATGCACCCCCCACGCCCATCCAACCCATGCCCTGCTCGTACACTGAATGCTCTAGTGTATTGGTCCTCCAACGAACTTGTTAATTGTACTGGCGGTATTCCCGGTCCACGTCCCGTCTTTGACCTAAATAAATCATTAGTGCATGCTTGCCATGGGAAGTACAGTACTTACAAGTGCCGCAGCCTCTCGTTCGTAGTTCTGGGGCAGTCGTGTCAGCCAGTAAGGTACCATAGAACATATGAAACAAAACTTACCAGTTGACTGTCTTTCGACAGTGCGTTCCAGTACAGTTTAAAGTCGCCAGATGTGCCATTCGGGGCAATGATCTTGAGCCAGCGATGTGCGCAGAGGTTTCTAGATGGTGGCATGAAACAATCAGTGAGCATATCAAGGATACAATTGGACACTGTACCTTCCGTTTTTTGTTGCAGTTGGCCGAAATTTCTTAGTTGTCATCGTGTCAGAACTGTTGTCCGTTGTACCAGCGACGGGCCCTGGTGTTGGTAAGATGGCATCCTTGGCTATGGGAGCCATCGATAACTCAGTTGGCGTGGTTGGACCAGGGTCCGAATTCGTGGAAGGTGCAAGAACTGGAGACGCCGAGGGATTGGGTTTCTTGGATAACACGAGTTTTGCGCTATATAGAATAGATTCAACAATATACCAGGCACAAAAATCTACAAGGACTCACAGCGGATTCTTTATCTGTGGAAGACGGCTAACAGTCGGATCAGGTGCTGCCAGTGGTGTCATTGAGTCTGGCACACGTTCGGACCCAGACTCAGACGGAGGATGGCTTGAATCTGTCGGACTTGTCGGTAGGGTGGTGGCCATGGTTGTGCTGACAATCGGATCAGGTGTTGCCAGTGGTGTTATCGAGTCTGGGACACGTTCAGACCCGGGCTTGGACAGAGGATGGCCTGAATCTGTCAGACTTGTTGGTAAGGTGGTGGCCATGGTCGTGCTGACAATTGGATTAAGTGTTGCCAGCGGTGTCATTGAGTCTGGGACACGTTCGGACCTGGGCTTGGACAGAGGATGGCCTGAAGCTATCGGACTTGTCGGTAGGGTGGCGCCCATGGTCATGCTGACAGTTAGATCAGGTGTTGCCAACAGTGTCATCGAGTCTGGCACATGTTCAGACCCAGATTCGGATAGAGAATGGCCTGAAGCTATCGGAATTGTTGGTAGGGTGGTGGCCATGGTCATGCTGACAGTTGGATCAGGTGCTGCCAGTGGTGTCATCGATGCTTCATCGACCTTTGGCCGTTTCGCTGGGTGATCGGGCTCGTTGGAGGGGGTTGGGGAGCTCAGGTCAGCAGGTGGCTCCGAATCAGATGGTGTATTACTGAGTTTCGTAATTTTTCGCTTGGTACCAGAGGACTACAATGATAGTATGATCCCAACCGAGTTAGTAGAGCAAACCAATGAAAAGGCTGAAATAGTACCACTGCAATGGCATCTGAAGATTTCTTCCTCTTCTTGATGTGTGTTGACGCCCATGAGGGATAACGTTCAGTAGCGATAGCCTGGACCTTCCATCCATTGCTGCAAAGTGCCAGAACTGGGTGATGCCTCGTCATCTCATCTGTAACATTGTCCAATACATCGGTCCCTGCATGACCCCATGTGTCAGGAGCACAGTTGTTGTTGAGCAGCGTGTGCCAGATGTTTCGCAATGTCTTGAGGATGTTCGATACTTCGGCTTTCACAATGAGTTTGCCATCCGTGTCTTCAAGGAATGGGAATGGGAAAGCAGCACGATTCTCATGGACCCATTGAGATGCAGGGGTTTTCGTCCATTTGGTATACATGTCTTCAGTCCAAAATCGAGTCTTTGGGTAGTCTTTCCGGTCGAGTGGCTGGAGCCGTGATTTCATACCAGGAATGGTGCAAGAAGGTTTGGATTTGACATCGCTGTTGATAGTTAGCCCTGTAAAAGATGAAATGGCCGGAACTTCCGAGGAAATCGATGCGGCAAGGGTGTTGAAGGCTGCTCTGCAGAATCAATCAGTAAAAACGAGCATATACTCACATAAATCATGTTTCTATACTCATATGTGTCACGTGTAGCAGAGAGGGAGCTGTTTTCGACCTTCAAGCGCTGTATCTCACATTCTAAGGATTGTATACGATGATTCAAGTGCATATATGCACTCTATTACAATAATTCAGCAAACAGTAGACATAGACAATAGTACTGACCGAGCTGCCGGAGGGATCATTCCATGAGTGACGGTCTGTTGAGTGGTGATCATGATCTGAATAATTTGGTGCTTTGCTGGATCCACTAGGAATCGAGGAATTCTGAAAACGAGGAGTCTGATGCTGCTGGAAATAAGGATCATCATGCTGGAAAGGGCTTGAAAAGGAATAATCTGTAGACATGGTGGTTGTTCGAGGAAGAGATATATATGATGCAATAGCCTTGACTTAGTGTTACCAGAATGTGATTTTAAAACTCAGCGCTTCAGCATACGCGCCTAATTCAAATCTTCAGCAGCGCGTCTAAACTGCATATAACTTCAGGGACATATCTTTCACGCGTCTTCTACTAATATATCTACTGGCATGGCTGCAGCACCAGTCGACTTTCTTGGTGAGTGCCTATATTTATATATTCTATCACTGTTTAATAAACCAATTTTACTTGCAGGTGCTGCTCGGCACTCTCGCTCTCCTAGTCCCACTGATGAAGATCTGTTCGACGAAGCCATCGCAGGTCTGGCAGACTTCGATATGGATGGTGAACAGGCCAAAACCCCTATGGACAACAATGAAAAGGGTAGTAGGTCCCACACGACCAAGTTCGAAGGAGTACTAGGCAAGCGTCCTCGTGGAACATCTGACAGTGACCACAATGCCAATGGGTGAGTTCGCAAAACTGTCAAAATCCAGGCAAGTACTAGTCGCAAACCGTCAGCATCCCCTGAGCACTGCATAGTATTTATTTGTCTTACCTTTTTTTCTGTAGGATTCGTGCAAAAGCCAGTGATTTTCAAGTTGAGGAGGACAAGTAGTAGAAGATCATCGTGACACATTGCCATGCAAAGTACTCAAAAAATACATGCCGTTTTCATTTTTATTGTTAATCATCCTGTTCCTCTTGATCATCCTCTTCGACCTCGACTCCTGTTAGTGTGACATCAAGCCCAGTCTTCTCAACCATGAAATACCTATCTTCCGTGACGCCAGATGGTAAAGTGGGACGATGGGGAATCATTGCAACAACAGCGGTGATGGTTTGGACATCAATAAGTTGGAGATTTTCGTCACCATCATGTGTACATGACCACACGGTTCCATGTGATAAGTCAAGGAGCTGCTGGTCAGGGCGAGAATAAACAGATACCATAGCAACATTGGCCCATGTGAGTTTGGGTATCTCGTTATTGTGGTTGAATCCTTCTTCATCATCATCATCATCATTGTCCTCGTCCTCGTCCTCGTCCTCATTGGCAACAGCTTGAACAGCTAATTGTGTGAAGTACAAGACTTCAGCAAACTCATCAACATTGTTGCGACGGAACTATGAGTGCAATAAGTTCATGTGACTGTGAATCAATTCATGATAGATTTACCTTGACATTGCGTGAAATTCGTATATACTCAGCAGATGACTTGTTTTCTTTCCATGCCGAACGAGCAATCTGACCATGTGGGAGGCGGAGTCGTGACCAGCGTCTGATCGGAGGTGCAGGACGCCCAAGGAAATTTGAGATGATGGCGGCTTCAGCAGCATGCATATGTATAGGTTTCCGGTCGCGCGCTCGCAGAAGTACATAACCATTGCCGACATCAAAAGATCCCCGGGGATGCAGCGTGTTGCGAGTGTCACATTGTGGGAGCATCGCCTTCAGAGCATTAACTCGACACCTCATTACACATATCTCCGTGAAGTTTGACATAGCGTTGGAGGGTTGACACAAGTCAAATTCAATGTCACCAATAGTTCGCTCGAGAGTCCATTGAGATGAACAACATGGAGCGCCAACACGAGTCCCCTCTGCAGCTAGATGGTTTGCAAGATGAACACAGGGACGAACAAAGTGAATTCGATCGACACGGCGCTGATAGTAGATTCTCTCGAATTCCTCCTCCCACTCAGCAAAGCAAATACAAGCTTCTAGCATCTCTGCAGTCGTAATACGATACTGACTCATGATGCGAAGGCCTCGTACAAACTTGCAGTAGTGTTGGAAGTACCTGGGAGGAAGGATACCGTAGAGCAGCCCAGGGCCAATACCGAAAAGCCAAGTGATAAACTCGCGTGCTTTGTAGAATGAATGCATTTTCTCGGCAGGATTTCGAGGGGGGACATCAAAAGAACCAGGTAGATGTGTGTGAGTAGCCGCGACAGCTTTTCCATGAGCTTCCCATGTATCACGAACAAGAACGGCCCAGTCCCAGTCTGCAATGGAATCTGTAACAGCATGGCAGTCCACAACACCACACCAAAGATCCGTAAAAAGTGATGCCATGTTAGCACCTGAAAAGTGCATGATCTCGGAGGAAAAGCACTCAGGGATACCAAGAATATGGTCAACGTTGAGTCCAAGGAGAATGCTGGGTCCCACGATCCCAGTTGTTAAGCGGTTCTGTTCGTACTGTGCTTGATTTTGGGATGCCATGAGGATGCGCATATAAGGCTGATGCTGAGTCCGAAGAGGGAATTGCGAAGCTCGCTGTGATAGGACTGTCTTAGGATCTGACGCGGACTCGTGGTGGGGAAAGCAACCAATGTTCAAAGTAAGCGTACAAGGCCGTTTTTTAAGTACACGAGAGTAAGGGTCCTTGTTTACGAAAGTGAAGTTTTCAGGGAGACGGAGAGTGGTGGCGTTGAGCCTGACAGGGTAAAAGTAACGGAAATGAGTGAATGTATGTTAGTTTTGAATAAAAGATAGTAATAGGCAGCTCGCCGTGCACAGGAATGACGAGAAGCATTTGGTGTTTGACTGTTTTTGGGGCGAAGGAATGAAACTAAGCTGAAATGACGAGAGATGGTTTGGTGATAAGTCCAGGGTATAGTTATGAATAAGGGTGAAAGACCGAGCTCGTCGTTGAGCATAACGAGAGGGTGAAGGTAAGGAAAGAGAATGTGTCCGCGTGACTCGGACGCGAAGCGTGATGCTTGTTCGCGTCAATGAGTCACGCGGATTTCGGACATAAGTCCTGAATTGTATTATGAAGCGTTAGTCGGGGTGCAGAGGATATGGAATCCTTACACACAGGTTCTCAGTGTAAATTGCAGAGGTACCGCCAGTAAGATCACGAACATCAATATCATCGTGTGTGCAGCCAGCGACAGTATAATTGTCTGGCTTCAATAGGACAGGGTAATATTGAGATGCGTGTGGCTTTTGGCGTCCTTGGAGACCACAGTACATTCAGCAGCCGTTCTTGCCTGTGTGGCCAACAAGGCTACTCATGCAGATCAGGCCGGGCCCATCTGCAAGGGCTAGAAAAAGGAAAGGATGTGATATGAACACTATGTCGCGCCGAGCATCCCAAATAGACAGACCCTCTCTCTGAATTGCGGCAAGATGGTGAAAGCCTGGGTATAAGAATGACTGAATATACTTGGGCTTATTTGGACCGGGAATAACACCTCCTGGAAGAACATGTTGTTTCTTGTAGCGACGGTCGGGGGAGTGATCAATGATAATCCATATGTAGACCCAACAGTCTGACATTTTGCTTTCGAAGAGTTGAGCGCCGTCGATGGAGATCATAAGTACCATGTCTTCTGGTTTGATTCTACCCTGCCTGACTGCATCAAGGTACGCACTCCCGGTGAGAATGTCCTCGTAAGCATCAACATAGCCCTCGTTCCGTCTGATCTCCTCAAATATTTGCTGTGTTCTCTCATTTCTATAGCTCATGTGTTGAGCACTGCCTCATTCACGCCACAATGCCTGAAGCTGGGGACCAATTGGGATTGTTTGGAAAACAGCACGAGGGACTTTCTTGCGTCCATGACTGCGTGCCAGCTTTTTTTGGTCATAACGCAGTTCGTCACACATGGGACATGCATCTAGACCTGCATAAGGGCCGACGAACGCTACACAAGAGTTGATACAGCGGTGGTCGACGATGGAGGAGATACCCGTAAGCTCATGAATAAGCTTTTTGACTCGGTATAGACTTGGAACCTCTGAGTCAGGGTAGCACTTTTGAACAGCACTGCGAATATGGTCATACGCCGCTTCAGATGAGTGTTGGAGGGCTAAGAAGAGTGAGATTGCAAGTTCTTCGCATGGATTATCAATACGACATGGAAACCTAGGTGGGTCCTGCAAGCGCACAAGATCCTCTCCTTTCAAGCCAACCCCATCATCGAGTGTTGCTCTCCGTACTGAGCATATGAAGGACATGTCACATTGGAGGTTAGGAATATGAGCAGATCGAAAGAGATCATCAACATCGACATCATTGAGTGGATTGCATCAGGGTATGTCCTCCATGTCATGGGGAATATCTGGAGGCGCCGGCGGTGGGAGCTGCGGAAAGTTTTCTGGAGGCTCCCCAAGTAGAATATCGGGTGCGTTTTGAGGATGGTCATCAGGGGGGATATCAGGAGGGTTGTATGGAAGGTCGTATAGAGGTTCGTGCATTGCACCAATGGCATAGTCATCAGCATCCTCAATGTCAGCTAACGATGGTTCTTCTAAAAAAACGATTGTCAGTCAATGATTCAAAGAGCATAAACACTATTCTTACCATGGCGCTCAGTGCCGTCTGCTTCGCGAACACGTTTCTGAGGCCGTTCTTCATCAGAATCATTGTCCCGCTGTAGATGAGGAATCTTGACTATACGTGAAAACACTTAAAACAAAAGGGGTGCTCAACAGCAAGACCGGGATACGAGACAACGACTCGACCCAAAGGACAACCACTGAGAGAAGTTCCTCGAAATAAAGTGGAGGGAAACTCTGTGAGCTAGGCGGGCGCTAATAGGCGCGAAGGCGCGCGAGATGCGCGCGTGAGCGGGAGGTCCGAGAATGCGCGCGCGCGAAGCGAAGGCGCGCCTAAAGCGTTAGAGGCAAGATCTTACTGAGGAGTGAGTGCAAAGGTGGAGGATTGACAGGAGGATATGATCAGATAACAAGTGGGGAGGTGATCTATTCACTTTCCAGTACACACAGATAAGGGAAAAGTCAGTACCAGAACCAAAGGAAACCCTTCTGTATTTAAGAATGGAGAAGGCGCGCTTCCGAGCGCGCTCCCGAACCGAGTAACCATATCAACTCTAATTATAACTAAGTTTAAATAAACTTTCCATAAGTAGCACGGATGTCGGACCGAAGATTTTATTAGTTCAATGGATAAGATAGAAATAACGCACCAGCGAATCAGTAAGGACATGGGACAGATGGACAGACGATAGCGCGAAGACCTATGAGGAGGCGCGCGAAGTGCGCATAGCGCGTGCGTAGGTAAGGCGCGCCTAAGTGCGTGCGAGTTCGCGCGAGACTGGTCCTTAGGAGTAGAGCTGTAACATATAGGAATGTATGGTTAAAGGCCGGATATTTGTCATTGAGACGCGCGAGTCTCTACACCGCTTTGACGAGGGACCTGCAAGGGTAGTAACACTAGCCGTCTTGAAGGTATCTGACAGACTGGCTGCTCAGATTGCGGCCCTTTCATTGTCGTTGGGAGCACGCTGTAAATGTCGGAACCACGTAGCCCGAGAACCAAGCTTCGTCCGAACCCCATGACAGTAGTACTGGCATATGCACCAATGTTCTTTGGGCTCCGGCATGTATGAAAAGTTTGAACCAAAAATGTTTGATGTGTGATTGTAACTGAACGTTGCGCAATGTGCAGTGATCTTGATCAGTAAGTGTTACAATGAGCAGATCGAACATGTTTACTCAGCGCATTGATGCGTATTTGAAACCTATTTGATAATTGATCGAGCGTTGTTGACACATTGTTTACATTTATCGATTTGCGTAGTTATTACAATATTCCTGGTATATATTTTATATCATCGTCGTTTGCCGTAGATATGGCTAGGACCGATTTTCACTGGGGCTAAACACCGGCTTACACCGCAGTTTTCACTTATAAGGTGTGCCAAATCTAACAAGGAATCACCCCTTCAAAATCATGCCTCCCGTTGGTTTGTTACAGGACAACAGTGGCTGGCAGTCCCAGCCCTCCATACTTCCTGGACCATTCAAAGAACCATCTTCAGTGAATGTCAAGAGGCATTCAACACCTGCGATAAATGTTGCAAAAAGTCGAGCTACCACCGTTATTGTGGAGTCAACTACAAGCCTGGCAGCAACAAAGGAACCCCAGGCAACACCAGAAACGAAACAAGAAAATAATGAAGAATCAGTCATGCAAGATCCTGGTACGTCTGTTGCAAGTTCAAGACCATGTAATTTATGTTTAAGTTTTGCAGGTTTGCGCCAGCTGATTATCAGCAGAATTCGGAACGGTGGCGATGGGCCCGAAGTTGAGGTATGGGAAGCAGCGTGTTCCTTATCTTTCTCAGGCTGATTGCCGTGGTAGGTATTTTCCAATGTTACAGAAGATGATTATGTATATGTTTTGGATGCTATCGGATGTGACGATAAACTAATTCGCAAGTGAGTTTTTTTCTCCCTTTTCCAAATTTGAACTGATTCTGTGTTTTGCTTCAGACCGTCATACATCCCCAGCCTCCACCAAATTGTCGCCACCCTGCCATCCCCAATTCACGAGTCGATCCTTGTGCCTTTGCGCACTGCGATGGGGATCATCGTCGAGTCTCTCGACATCCCTGACGACTTCGAGGTCTCCTTACCCATCCACATGGGGCGTATGGTAGACGCCCCCACTACCGCAGAACTTCCTTCTCCTCAGGATGAGACTCAGGGTTATCACCTCGGAGTACCGGACCTGGTGCTAATGTTCCAGACCCGTGATGACGACATCCGTCCCTTCTGGCCATTCGAGGTTTCCGTCTCCCAAACTGCTGAAGGCGCTGTCACGAAGTTGCAGAAGTTTGGCGATCGGAACGAGCACGTTTTGGCCGCCACTCACATCAACATCGCTGAATCCTGGAAGCATGCCTCACCGACGTATGAGTGGGGTGTCACGAAGAAGTTGAATCGGAGGGGAGTTCAGATGGGGGAGTTGACGTGGTCGGAAGATGGTGCATTAGCGTCGCACTCTCATACATGGTATCATCCTGCGACAGTCACCATCACCACTTGGATCCGTCCTCCTAACAGGCGATTGAACCTCAACTCTCGACATCGTGCTTACTGTGCGAGTGCCGTACGTGTCCCTTGGATTTTTCTAATACTAACGCTAAGCATTCGCACTATCAGGTACTTTATCCCAACCAGAACGAGCAGGCCCTCGCCAAAGTTCAAAACATATTCCAACGCACGCTGGAGCAAGTGCGCGATACCGTTGTTGACCACCTAGAGGCTGAGCACGCAGATGACGATACGCTCCTGTAAGCACTGCTATTTTACTGATGATCGTAAATTCATCAGTTCGATTGTTTCCAGCGACTCACTCCAAGCCATGAGGGACTGGTCTCCACCAAGGGAGCTGCTCGATTGGAACAAGTGCAGCAAGGACCTGCGGTCAGCGATGAAGCAGACCGGATTCAATCGGTACCGCGCATGGCACCGCAGCTTCCTTAAGCGTGTAGCCGATGAGGCCGAGGTCTCGGGATCTAGACCTGGACCGAGCAAGAGGGGCAGGGTCACATAGCGGCACGTCTCGTTCTGTGTCTCGCGCAAATTCTCGATGTCTTTCAAATCGCACTTCACATGTTTACCCCCCAAATTGTATTACTACTACGTGCCTCCCTCCTCAGATTGAAATTGTACTAGTACTACCGCATCATGATCGTTTTCATTGTTTTGCACGCTGTCATTGTAGTCCGAGTCACGGCAGTACTACACTAGTATGATATAATGGTTTTTTCACTGACCCACTAAACGGCCTACTACTCATGAACATTTGGACCACCACTGGCGCCTTCTTCCATTTGACCTTGTCATAGCGGTTTCAAAATAGCTGGCATGCACGTGCTTAGTACGCCTAACACTAAGTCACTAAGGCACTTCAAGACTCTTAGACTCTTACTGGTCTCTGCACCGAGCTGCCGCGGCCTGTCCGCATCGCACACACTTGGACTGATGGATTTGCCAGCCCTTCCGTACGTGACTACTACTATGTACCGTACTAGCCTTGGTGCTTAGTACTAGTAACTCAGGAGGGTGTAGCTCAAGTCTACGAGGTTTACTCCAATAACATTACTTCCGATAGCTTGTTGTCGACCTCGGGGGCAACTTTACACAACGGTTGTATTGGTCTGCGGCGTCTGAAAAGTCAGTGACTTGATTCTGTATAACGCACCTTTTCTGACTTGTTTATAAGATTTACTAGTAGGCACGGTGACCCTCAAGTCAATACCCTGGAGGAGCCTTTTGTAAATTCCTGGAGTGTCCTAGAAGAGCAGTCACTGTAATACACCATTAAGTTCGGTCCACCGCGCTCCTGGTTCTAACTACTAATATGCCAGTGCATCCGTCGTACCAAGTCTGTCGCTGGGACTCTCCCTTTCATCTCCGCACCTTCCACCAGGTTCACTAGATGCATTCATGAGGTGCATGCTCGTATCCCGAATCTCAAGACATGTTCTTGCCGAACATCACCTTGCGCTCTCGAAGTCCCTTGGAACCAACAGCCTCAATCACCCCGAGGACCCACACGTTGGCATCATTTACACTGCGCTCAACCTCAGGGATTCCATTGACAAGCGTGTCGCGCTCTTGCATGGCAGGCCACACGATATAGTCGATGAGATTGGGGAAAGCGTGCCGAATCGCGGATGGCCGGAAGTGATCGTCAATGGTCACGTTGACACTAAGTTTTCCTACATACGTGAACACCTCGAGTAAATCTTTTCACTTGCATCACATTCAATCTCACCCACGCCTCATTTTCTAGGTACATCATATTTGAACTTCTCAAAAACGTGCAGGTTCTCGGATCACATCTAAAAGAGCGGTTGACTGATGGCGTTCTAGGCAATAACCGGTACTGGACTGGATCACAGGAGTTCACCTAACCTTCCTCCTATACGAGCTACCATCGTTCTTGGCGAGAACGACGTTCGGGTGAGAATATCTGATCAAGGTTGGCACCCCTTTTCTCGCCTACAGATGAATGTTAAGGCAATATCTATAGGTGGTGGACTCTCATCTGCTCGGATCAAGTCACCTTCCGACCTCTTCTCTTTTTCTCACATTCGCAATGCAACACGCATGGATGACGCATGGCTGGGCGCGCTACGCTCAGCCAGTTCGAGAGGTGTTAAAGCTACTGAAAATACGCCCATGGCGGACTGAACAGTCGAATGTGAATTCAAACAATAAAGATTCTGAACGCAGCGAGGCTGGCATTGATCCCAGAATAGGGCTTGGCCTACCTACTATGAGTAGTAACATGTTTACACCGTGCGTGGTTCTTGGCTAGTGCCTTCATAACGGTTAACTGAGCTACCTTTACAGGTATTTCGGGAGTCCTGGAGCTGGTTTCCCTGAATGGGCTGGGGTGAGTAAGCTTTGCCCATCACATTCGGGCCTCGTGTTGACTTTATGAAGCAACAGATGTATATTTACGCTTACCCAAGCTGGTGCGTTTTTTTTTTCAAGTCAGCGGGTATCAACATGTGACGCTGGGCTAAGGGCATTTTATATTTAGATGGCCAAATATAAAATTCATATTCATATTCATATGAACCTTAAGGGTATTGAGCTATCGACTGCCTGCACGTGAACGTCACCATACATATTACCATGTGTTGTTCAACTTCCTGTGGCATCAAATAATGCAGCTGGTGAGGTCAATTCTACCTGATATTGATATTTGTTGCATGCGCTTTTACAGTAGAACATTGCTCAGTGAGGGCACGAACACTACATTTGTCTTTGTTGGTATCACGAGGCAGCACAGCACCCATTGCACCCATTGCACCCTGGCAGCATTCAACCAAGCTTCAGACACCACCTTTCCTTTGTGTTGGACGCACGACATTGCCGACAATACAACAATCTGCAGAGTCTGTGTCGTTCGTACGCTCGGGCCCAGTACTCTCTTGCCAAGTCCTATTCCGGCAAAACCTTTCCCAATACCAGATGAACTTGGCCTGATAAGAGCGAGGGCGTCGTCCGTTTCGAGGCTATGGTACTACATAGACCTAGTGATGCGGCAGGGTATGTGTATATTTTGTGACTATCGTTATATAGACGCTGATTGCCTGTTACCAAAGTAGCACAGACCCATTTTCATCATTCTAAGTCAATGTGCCTCGTGCAGTACTATATCCTCATCGTTATGTCAACTTGAAGCTTGCGCCTTCTTCCCTTTACCATTCCTTCCCTGTTTCCTACGTTCTGCCTTGATGTAAGTGTTTTCAACATAACTATGAAAAGTATATGCAGCGCCTTCTGACATGCCTATTTTTTCTTTGTAGAATCCAGAATTGAAATGAGCTGCGGTCGACAGGTACAAAATGCCCCGATCTTTCATTGTACCGATATATTGACGGAAATTCATGGCAGGATAGCGAGAGTGGACACTCGTCACAACGTCCTCGATTTCTTGCAGCGGTTCATCGTCACTTGATTCATCGTCATTATCCAAATAAAGTGCATACGTTCTCTTCAGCGGCTGAGGCACCGCCTGGCCTTCTTGTTGTCTGCCAAGGGCCCCCTTGGAGATCACGAATATGTTGGATGGTAGGAGGCTCTGCTTGGTTATAGCAGGTATGTCTGTCCTTTGTTTTGCTGGTTTGTCTTTGGGTGTGGGCTCCTGTGAAGGTAGGTCAGATCGTGCAAATCACTCACATACCAAGTCACATACCGTATTGAGGATTTCGATGGCAACTTTCTTATGTCGCCTCCCAGAGCTATCCGCCCTTGCAGCTTTGAAAGCACTGTCGATGTTGTGCACAGTTAAAAGCCGGTGGGGGGGATTCGTGCGGCGGGCGGTAGACAATCGCCAGCCTAAGTGTTCGTACAGTTCTGGAACATCCATGATAGCTCTGATGGAGTCAAATATGTCTCGCCGACCATCTGATTTGGAGTGCAGCTTGCCCACATACGTGGTCGATTGGCTCCTATCCATAGTGTGTAATGGCACTCGAAATTCGACTAGCATAACCGTGAGCATCTCCACCTGACTCGGGGTCGTTGCTTGCACAACTTACTTTTATCAAGCTCGGGGGCCTGGTACTGTTCTGCGGTATCAGTGATATCGGGTAATTCTGGACGAATACCAAGCAGATACGCAGCGGTTTGTGCACGAGTGCACTGATGAACAGAAGAGACTGAATTAATCGTAACACTACTGCGAGGTCTACGAGTCTCCCGTCGCGCATCTGAGCGAGGCTGTGACATGACGATTCGGAGAAAATACAAGCTCATCACCCACTTTGCACATGTGCCTTTTATCATGCTCTCAGCTCAGAGAAACGAGTTGCAATAACTTCAGACTTCGGCCAAAGTGCATGAGTTAGTACGAAAACACTTGAATTTACTATTATTTCCATGACGCCGACGGCACAGCTTAAACTTCCCCACCCAATATAGCTCGAAAAACAATGTAGACACTGACAGAAAGTTGCGGTAAACGATTACTGCATCCCGAGTCACGTCACCCTGCCAAAACAGGCGAGAGAAACGACGGAGAAACTTACGAATGCTCAAGATTTTCTTCAAGGTGAGTCAGTGAAGTTCCACCGGGCTAGTATATTATGAGAATGCTTATCACCATGACTAACTATACAGGAACGATATATAAGATAGCTAACCGTCCTACGGCTCATTTGTTCTACACCCTTTTGTCTCTCCTGTTATCTGACTCGGATTTCGCGGCATGTCTGCATCAGGGCATGACTCAGGAAGCCCTCCTTCGGGGATGATATCCCTGCATGTCCCAACCTCTCCTCAGGCTCGGGCGAAGAGAAGAATAGCCACCTTGATGGAAGAGGTCGAACTCTTGAAGCAGGACAAAGCAACCAAGCAGAGGTGCGTCAGACTTGCTCAGACTTTTAAAGACGCAGTCTTAACTTAATTTCTTATCAAGGAAAACAACGTATTATGTTTCACAGGGTCGAGAAATCCGTCGTTTGGTCGCCTTGTACACTCCTATAGAGGATTTAATTGCTGAAAACGACCGACGGTGTGAATATGAAGATACTTCCGGCGTTTCCACTGTAGAGTAAGTACTAGTATTCATCTTGCTTTATCATGACCATATCCTGACATGCACCGGCGTGACAGGCAAGACCGCCTACAACGTAGTTATGTCAAACTTGTCAAGGCGTTGCCGTGGATTCACGACAAGATAGCAAGTCTTGACGACGAGGAGTCTGAAGACATGCTTAAAAAGGTCTGTTCATGAACTTCTTATGTCACTTTTTCCTCATTAGTACGATTCAAATGTAGCTCAAGCGAGGTGCGGACTCAGCTCGCGGCGATGACACGGGTACCCTTAAAGAGCTCGTAGCATCATGGGTAAACATCGAGTTTCGTCCAACTCCTCTCATCTCGACCAACGACAAGCATCATCGAGGGTTTGTAAACGACACATGTGGTAAGCTGCTCTGTCCAGTGGAATGGTGCTGGGATGATCCTGCGTAAGTGATATTCCGTATTCTTTACTGTCTTCATTTATATGTCGCTGATACTATGCGGTCCAATGTCAAGGCCGGCATTCGAGACCGTACAACCGCTTTCATCGTCTCCGAAAATTCATGGCCCCTATTTATGTATCAAAACTGTGCAGCTGACGCCGGCAATCTAGAGCACGGTCTCATGAAATCTAAGCTATTAGTGATGGTGAGCTGATTTTTCTCATTGGTTCGTGTCTCATAATCACATCGCAGGGGTTGAAGGCCCTCTTTACCTCTCCCTCATCTGCCAGCGAGATGGATGGTGAAGGTCAAGGCACCGATATAATCGAGAACAATCGACGTGCACGGAGACAAGATCAAGCCAAGGTAAAGACATGTGTTGCGTCTATTATCGGTATGAGGAAGGTTACTCCTCGGGCGATTGCATATACAGCTTGTCAAGTAAGCATCGCCCTATAACCGTGATGTAGATGACGAGTTTTGCAGATCCGATTCGCTCTCTCTAGTATCACTTCATGGCGCAACGTAGACGGAGATTTCGATTACGAGATATTCTGGACCAATATCGTAGATTTCTTCGAGGATGCTCCGGGTCCAGCTGTGCGAGCCAGGGTCAATGAACTTCTTGAGTGGTGGACCAGGTAAGCATGGACTGTCAATGAGTAGCATTGATCGCTAATTCCTGTACAGAAAAGTTTTTGGAAGAAATCACAGACAAGACTTGACGTCGGACGTAATTTCCCGGATGTCCGTCCGTACACTTGCTGCTCAGAGACTAGCGATGGAAGATGCTGCATTGGATTCTGACTCTTGACGTTCATCGCCGTATCTTAGTGCCTATTGTTACTCAGTAATATACTCTCTGAAACTAATGTGATTGCGGTCTCCCATATCTGCCAGTGACACCCCGTGAATGAATCATTGTGTGACAACCCTTAATCTTTCTGTCAGATACATCTATCAATCGACGTACCGCGTATACAACAAATATATATATATATCGATAATCTGAGTAATTATACTCCTGTAGACAATAAGAAGAATATGCCGATTTTGTGATGAACAGATGTGGTGATACTCCTGCTTACAACGAGAAAAATATGCTGATTTTCCGATAGACAGGCGTTGTTACACTCGTGTATCCACCAAGATGAAATTGCCGATATTCTGATGGACTAATGTAGTTATACTCCCGCGTACGGCAAGAAAAATATGCTCATTTTCTGAAATATAAAATTGGACGGTGTGACTTGTCAACGAGTTGCATCTGTTGTTGTATAAGAAAATACTCTTTGTCTATGATAACACACAAGAATGTGCGAGATTGGCAAACTTAGAAACTCGAGGTCAGAAGGGGTGATATCTGATGGACGGGTGTTGTTATACTCCTGTATGCACCCAGATAAAATTACCGATTTTTTCATGGACAGATGTAGTTGGTACTCCTGCATACAACGAGAAAAATATACTATTTTTCTGAAATAAGGAATTGAACGATGTGACTTATAAGCAAGTTGCTTCTGTTGTTGTAAGAGAAAAAACTCTGCATATGTGATAACGCGCGAGCATCGGCGAACTTAGAAACTCGACGTCAAAAGGGGCGGAGTTGTAAAGATGCCAAAGATGACATGATATTACAATGTAGCACTGCCCGTGTGTGGTGGCAGTGCTGCGCCAAAATTCTAAACATTTTGAGACGTCGTCGCTATTGCTAAATCTTTGAACTTGCTCGACATTCTAGAGGTTTGATTTTACACAAGGTGATGATCTGATGTTATTTGTCTTTGGAAAAGCTGATCAGAACGTACCGACTCGCTCATTCAAGGTATTTCGAGAACCAAGTGCCTTGATGTGAGTCGCTGGAGGCTTTGCTGGTAGAAGAACTCTCCCTCAGTGTTTGGAGCCTCTCACCAATTTGTGAACTATAACGTATATGCTAACATCTACCTTGTATTGAGAATAGGGCAGTCTTTTTGTTGCTATATAAATCAAGTATTTGCGGCACTGTGTCACGTTGTGTCTGACTGCGTAACAAGGTAACAAATTATGTGTGATATATCTTGCATTTCATTTAGGTAGTATACTTCGTGTTCGTTCACACAAAGTGACATTTTCAAAAAGTTGCAAATGCCTGAAAATCTATCTCTTCTTCAGTATGTCTCCCATTGGCTGAGAAGTATTTTGATATGCTAATGCCTGTCGCAGTTGCTTCATCCGCCAAGTGCAGCTCTTGTGATTTGGTTTGCCAACCGCTTTTTGAATGAAGGATTTTGGACGCTAGCACTTTGTAGCTGCTGCTCGAGCGGCATGGCAAAATCTCATTTAATACAACAATTTCCAATATCAACTCACAGAGCTCCACCTGCGCCGTGAATGCGAGAACTAGACAACACAAACCAGATGATCAAGACTTTCAACTGTCATATTTTAACCGAATTTTTTCATGCAAGGCATGGTTCTATTGGTTTGAAGATTGCAAAAGGGTGCGGTATTCATGTAAGTAGCGACCTTTGTGCTCGTCTTGGCAATAATGGTTCCAAAATCCACTTCATGAATTGGCATCACATTTTTCATCCATAGACTAGTTCACGTCTTAAATCGTACATAGAGGCTAGGGCAACTTGGTTTATTTATTTTAAAATTCGTCTTTCCTTCATAATGCCAGACATTTCCAAGTAAACCCCCCCACCAGATTTACGGCGATTGTTGTGATTACTAGTAATATATACTTACATATGAAATTGTAATTTGTTCACCGATTCACTGATGGGATTGTGTCAAGGGTATCCAAGCCACTATCACTCGCAATGATGGAATCCCAGACGGCGCTTGCCACAAGTGCGGAATGGCATAAATCAAACAGCCTGACTTCCGCTGGCATTCGTCTCACATACAACAGCACACTCGAACGTACCATATTACAATGACCTGCGTAAGATGATCAAAACATGCAAACTTGAAAGACAAAGTTCTGTACCAATGACTTAGTACGCCAACTCTCGTGAAAATACACCCGACAGTACACGATGAATTGCATGTTAATGCAACCCGACAAGCTGTGAGGAGTTACATCAGATAGTTATCATATTTTTGCATCATGGATCACGCGCCCGAAGCCCAGCATATCACCGATGAGCAATGCTCCATGGTCCAGAGCAATTGACATTGCAAAGATAACGACTCGGAGCGGAGTAGTGGGAGAACGAAAAGACGCCTGGAAAGCCAAACCCTGCAATATAGCTTACATGGGAATCACAGGATATTGGAAATCGCTCCGTCCTTACAATATGTAGAAAGTAGCTCAAGCATCAGTAAACCGGTGAGTTCTTGCTGGGGATTATGCTGATTATGGTGCTTTTACATAGTCATATATTGCTTTATATCACTTTATATTCCAATGTGATGAAAACCTTTCCTATATATTACGATATATAACAATATATGACGATATCTTCTTCTCACAGGTTCTCTGATGAGGCGGTAAGGAGGTGTTACATGCCATATCACACACAGGACAGGCTCTCGTCTTGCTCTGTTCTCGAGGAATGGACCCTACTTCGATTGTCAAATTCTTGCATAGGAAAAATTCGCGAAGGGAGGACTCCCTTAATGCCATTGGATATATATTTGCACACTGTAACTCTATCATCATGTGATCTGAACCGACAAGAAGATCCCATCATGATATTTTGAACACCATGACCGTGAGTCCAGGTCCTCTGAGTCATGTCTGATCGAGTTCTTAGAAAACTAGTAATGTACATTATGTCGTTTCCCGCAATAAAACGACACTCCAGTTCCTCCGGGCTATGAGACTGGGTCAGCCACTGTGTCGCGGTTCGTCACGATATTTTATGTACGTGCTGCATTGGGTGAGAAGCAGGAGAACACTGGAGAATTTCAGAAGTGAGCCAAAGGTGTTTAGCCTATGTAGTCAAGTTTCCGAGAACGGCAGCAAATTCATAACTTACCACCACCCGATTTACTTGCGATAGTGGATTGCAAAACAAGGGTTGAACAGAAACTGATACGCTCAGCTCCCATGGGCGGACAGTTAATCCCGTCATGCTGTGTACTTTCACAGCATTCGCAACAAATCAGATCCCGGACTCTACTCAATATGTCCGCTTCAGCTTATCTTTGGGCGTCGCTCAGACGCTCGTGAATAAGAGAAATATTTGGAACAAACAGATTCGCAAATTCAAGATGATAAATATGTGGATGAAAGCGCATGCCGGCCTGATCACGGATCTGGCTGGAGAGAGATATGTGAGGTGCGAGAGTGGGCGGCCAGCTTCGCATATTATCGATTAGTTTGAGAGATACGCAGGTCGGGTCTGCAAGAGCGTAAGTAGGCTACAATGCGAGGTGCACCGTGATCCAAGAATAACTGTGATGGTGCGAGAAAAGAAAGGCTTGACGATATATTCGTCTTGAGCAGCTGTGGTTCAAAAAGAAACGCTAACGGCTGCTCGCACAAAGTAGAGATGGACTCACTTAAGATTTTGAGATGGTGGAAATGAACGTGACAGCATTGCCAATTGACCTTTCCTGATAATTTGCCAGCTTGAAGCTTGAAGCTTCAAGGCTAGCGCTTCCAGTTTGTCTTTTGTTGTTTAGTAGGACCTGAGCTTATGTCACAGAGCGTAGATGGTCAAACCGTTCAAACTCCGCCAAAAGGTTCAAGCTTTTGTAAACGTTTAGGAGCTCGATGTTAGAAGAGCCTTACACCCAAGGAGGTCGCCTCCAGCTGCAGGTAACTCCCTTCAATGACGAGACATCTTCATTCATGCGTGCTGCTCTCATCCGTAAGGCATTAACCCCTTTCACAAAATGCCAGGTCTTATGCATCGAAATCGAGGATGACCCTGTCAGAGCTGGCCTCCCCAATCCACTAATAGCTAAATATTTGATCCTCATTTCAACTGCGAGCGCAAAGATTCGTTGTCGATGGACATCAGGACCATAGAGATATTGTAGTCGTATGTTTTTGTTTCAAAGTTTATGGACCTCTGACCGTTTCGCATCTGTACTTTCGACATACAGCATATGTATCAACGCATGCATGTTAAATGTGGTTTTCGCCCTTAGGTAGCAGTTTGGGTACAAATTATGCTCCAAGTCCCGTCGCTTCCCTATCATTTCTTGCAACCCTTTGTTTGCCCTCAAAAATCTTTAGATTGTGGGACCAGGACAGTTAACAGTGGTCCGCAAATTGGCATCATTACGTCTTTCGATAAGTCAACATTGTATGTCCCTTTCATGTTTTGCGATCCAAAAATCGTGCATTGGCAACATAAATTACCATTCCTTGAACACACGAATAACCAAGGAACCTGACTCATGATGTCTTATCAGAAGTCACTGTCTGCATTCCACAGCCGGGCTGTGCGATCTTTCTTGTATGGAGTAAAAGTGGGAGAAGAGGACCCGGCTGCTCCTTCAATGAGCCTTAGAATCACTTCCCTGTAGTCCTCAAGGTTACACATCGGAGCTCGGGGGATGAATGTCGTGTCAAACGGTAGCACGCTGAGACTTGCGACTTGTCAATCACCACACAAGACTCGGAGGCGCTGATCCACTTCTGCAGGCGAGGCCCACTTGAAAGATGTTCTTGCTTGTGTCATCGTCTCCTTGACCAAGGAGAGCTCGGGAGAACGGTCAAATCTTACGTCTCCTGAACTGTTAGGCGGATCTCTACCCATACTTATCTCTTTATAAGTTGGTGGGCCAGGTGAAATTGATGCGGCACTGTAACAAATTCCTATGTACAAATCATGTTTACACAACTTCATATCGCATTCCAAACACTTTGAATCATCGTTAATGATCAACATATGAGTGTCTGCCTGCGTACAGGCTCTATAGTGCTGTATTCACCTCTCACCAAATTTACAGTGCTTGTCCTCTGCATTCATACTACTAGTATGCATCTTGCCGTCAGTCCTATATTGTTGCATTACCTCTAATTCGTTCATCTATGTTGGTTTTCAGATGCAGTGTCAAATGTTGTCTCACTGTGTCAAGCTTCGACCTCACCCTGCCAAGTTTGATCCACTCTCTATACCCTACACCAACACGTCGAGCCCCAACCATGGCATGTCAGAAGCCTCGTTTAGGCTGCGTCAAGCACTACTCACACCACGACAAGTTCTCCCAAATATCTTCGCAGTCTCTGTACTAATATCAACATCCACACTCTATGCCGCGTCGAGACCTACTACAGTGCCGCGTCAACCATAGCACATACCGTGTCAGTGCCACGTCAAACCTCAACTGTCACACTGTACTGTTGCCCAGATGTATCAGGTTGTTTTTGGAATTTTTAATTTTAGTGTGAGATACTTTTACGCCGTTTTACCGTCACGTGACGTCCGGGTTCGGCCGGATTTCTGGAACCCTTCTGCTTTTGGGGGGAGGCAAGTCTTTGTGTGTCGCTTTGCATTCTTTCTAACCAAATATTAGTTTGTTATTCTAGATCTACTATTAAGTCATCTGTCGTTCCAAGGATGCAGGTCAATAATAGTGAAGACAAGAACTTTGAGGATAGATATTATACACGCCATTCAACAAATCCTAGCGGGTGAAACCAAGATAAAGACTGTCATAAGTCTTTCCTGCTGTAGTGTACTGCAAACAGGCCTTCTACAGCATGTTTTTCAGCTCCCAAGGATGATCATAAAGTGAGACAGACAGCGTGAGAGTAGAGATAGGCATTTAAGTGTGTCAGCTCTTGGGCCAGGTGAAATTGATGCATGTATGGTCATGACAGGCCTGTGACACTGTAATAAATTCTAAACAACTTTGAATTTTAGTTAATGATCAACATACTAGTATGAGTGTCTGCCTACGTGTGTACAGGCTCTATAGTGCTGTATTCACTTCTCACCAAATTTGTGGTGCTTGTCCTCTGTCCACACTACTAGTATGCATCTTTCCTGTATTGTTGTATCACCTCTAATCCGTTCATCTATGTTGGTTTTCAGATGGAGTGTCAAGTGTTGTCCCACCTCATCAAGCCTCGACCTCCCTGTCAAGTTCGATCCATTCTCTATACTCTGCACCACCACGTCAAGCCCCAACCATGGCATGTCAGAAGCCTCATTTAGGCTGGGTCAAGCACCACTCACACCATGACAAGTCTGGAGATCAGAGTTGATGCGCAGATAGAATCTAATAGGTAAGATTAGTCTCAGTCTCTGGAAACAGAAACTGAGACACTCGTCTGCATGGGCACTAGACTTTATACTGTAAGTAGTATTTTCTTATTGAATATATTAGAATGAAACATTGTTACCCTGCCGGTTTGGGGCCAACATCAGCTCTCTCTTGTTCCTGCCCATTGTCTTTGCTCGCACCCTACTTGTCATCGTGTACCTCAGCTTCAGGTCCCTCGGTCTTCTTTGACTTGGACGATTTGGACAACAACAACAACAACAACAACAACAACAACAACAACAACAACAACTTCTCCCAAGTCCCAAACACCCACAGTCTCTGTACGAGTATCAACATCCACACTCTATGCCGCACCAAGGCCTGCTATCAGTGCCAGGTCAACCATAGCACATACCGCTGTAAAGATACAACAATTGCGGACTGGCTGGAGGAGTGGTATACTGGTGCCATGCACACAATCACCAGTGTGAAGCAGAACATCTGCAAGGTCATCGCCATAGAGTTCTACTGGTGCGTCACACTGACTTCAAGTTCAAGAGGTGGTGCTTGACCTTGGCTGTGACTCAGATTCACGTTGCTCCTCTTCTGACAGGCTGCACAGAGATGACAGAGTGTTTTCTAGAAGTTCAAAGCGAGCGGACGATGGAGAGCTAACAAGTATAATCTCAGTCTGTTGAAACGGACTCTTTACATTGAGGAAAGTACCTAACAAGTATACTACAACGTGTTAGTTCTGTTTTGTCAATGGTAGGTAGAAATATGATACTCACATCTCAGTCTGTTGAAATGGACTGAGATGTTGCTACAAAAACATTGAGTGTTTTAAGTGCGGGTAGAGTAGGAAAGAAAATTGTAAGTAAATATTGCTGAGCATGATCCGACATCAAATGTCGCTCGTTCATTGCTCTTTCGGGATGCGCTCGTACCAGTCTACTCCCTCATCGTTCCTATCTCGGATCCATTGGCCAAAGTCTCTTCGGATCGCTCGGAGTTCAACATGTTTCTGGAGGAGTACCCTGAAGCAAACTGTGGGGCCAAGCCACTCTTCGATGCAATCCAGTGCCGGCACAAGGCACACAGAGAAATCACTGCCAGATGAGCGAGCAAGAACAGCTGGCCAGAGGTCCGAGCATCCGCCTCACGCTGACAATCACAACCTGCATTCAGTCTTCCTGACTCGGAGTTGATAGAGGAAGCCTCGTCCATCCATGCACGCATACACTGATCCATAGCACAACCATTCAAGACTCATGGACATTTCACCACCCCCACACACGCATGCACACAAACTAGCTTCGAAGTTCTGTCTCTTAGTACTAGCACTGTCCTCCTCATAGATTTGTTTTTTTGTCGTGGATTCACACACAGCTGGCAGGACTCAACAAAATAATTTGATTTGTTTGGCAAATCGTTCGTCGAAAGGAACTCGAAACATAGATTGCATTGGCCGGCGATGAGAAAGAATGCAAAGCGGCACGCAAAGACTTGCCTGCCCCCAAAAGCAGAAGGGTTCCAGAAATCCGGCCGAACCCGGACGTCACGTGACGGTAAAACGGCGTAAAAGTATCTCACACTAAAATTGAAAATTCCAAAAACAACCTGATACGTCTGGGCAACGGTACACTGTCCGTATAACTTAGGTACATTTTACTTTACATCTGTCATAATAATTGATATTCTAACAGTGTTCCTTTTCATCCTGACAGAATTAGACGTCGTACACTGTAATTGTCCATAGGCAGTAATAAATTTATTTTACTAAGCATTCTTTCGTTGTCTCCTCTGGGCTCGAGAAACAACCGTTATTATCGCGCTTTTGTAAATCGTATCATGGCCTTTGTGAGTTCTTTAAAATACGGAGTAAACTTGTTATAACCATCTTTTAGCAATTAATCAAACATATATTCAACTTTTTCTATCCCAACGAGACAGAGAATCAAAATTATCCAGATCGGCCGGGTCCGCTGCTGAGTTTTGGGGACCTCATACCCTGCTATGACCGTTCAGGTGCGTCATCCAACATATTCTCCTTGTGAACTCAGATTTGACAAATAGAACTGCCTTTGGTGCATGCTTTCACTCTCGTGGTTGCTCACCGAAAGGCCAGTGATTTTGAAAAACGCATCGAAGCTCGAAACGAAGAATGGAACGATAGCATGCTGTTGAAGATGGCTTGGGCTGATCTCATGATAAGCTATCCTACCAATAGCTTCGTGGCTGATGTCGACCTCGAGTGTCTGACCGCACTAGAAGGAAGGATGTTCGAGGATTCCGAAGAAGCAGGACCTGCAGGCAACCAGCAGTGGGGTTTGGATGCTGGCCAACATCACAGGCGATGGAAATTGTATCTCGGAATTCCTGATGAATGGGTTTCTGCAAGAGATTATAGCGAGAGTGAACTTGAAGTGAGGAAGACATTACCTGCTCCGTTCGATAGATATCTAACTTATGTGATTGACAGCGCGGCCCCTTATTCAGTGATAACTCTGATGCTACATCTTTGGAGTCTGCAGACGAGCTATCCGAAGCTGTAGTTCCTTGTCTGTCGGCCGAAGAATGTCCGCCCGTTAAACGTCGATGTGCTCCACAGGCTCGAAGGGTCCAGAGAGGGAGGAAAAGAAAATAGTCATTGGCTTATGTATACCTAGTTGTACATGGCTCTGAGGCAAATAAAATAACAAAAGAGTGGTCGTGAACTCATCCAACTTGATCTGGAAGTTGAATATAGAATATAGGAATGGCGCGTCAGTGGTCGCGTCAAGGATCGTTAGTGCCGCGTCAAGGTTCGTCAGTGCCGCGTCAGTGCCGCGTCACGCCGCGTCACGGCCGCGTCACGACCGCGTCACGACCGCGGCAGGCGCGGCAGGACCGCGTCAAAATAGCTACGCCCTAAGTTGGTGATGTACTCTCCGTGTTTGCGGGTGCCTTCAACATCCTTCATAATTGCCCCACCATTTTGCTATTCGCCACCATCATGCTCCATATTCATACATGTTCGCATATCTCGCTCCCGACATTGCATAACGTGTCGGTTGAAAATTGTTTGGTGTGCTTCGTCCCCCGTCGTTGGATCATTCTTCGCATTATGATCAAGTTTCTTCTTTAACCCCTCTCGCTCTGCCCATCGCACGACTTTCAGTAGCTCGCAAATATCTGAACACATCTACAATGTACGCTGCTTCAGCTTCGCGGTATCGCATTTTTTTCGGTTTCATACATCATGATAGTGAGATATAGGGGAGTGCGATTCCTGAGAATGGTCCCGGCCTTATACAAATCAATCTAATCTAACACAACTCCATCTTCTGATTGATCTCCGTAGGCATCCACGACACCATCTCCTTATGCAGTTCATTTTCCTTGCAGTTCTCCAATCGAACCGCAAACCTCCCAAAACCTCCCTCCCGTCATGCGAATATGCACACTGTCGGCGGTCGCTCAGCACGGAAATATACATAAAAGTCTCTATTGGCCAGAAGAGACACTAGAGAGAGCCTCAGATCCTCGATGAAGTCTACAAGATTGCAAAAAAAAAAAAGATCAATTAGAGGTGCTAGGCCACTGGCATGCTGATCCGGAGACGATCTGGTTCGACCGGCAAAAATCAGGCGCACACTAGGACTCAAGGACGCTGAATGGAGCAGCCGCGCCCTGTGCATCACCATGTTCAAAAGCTTCTCCCTGTGACGATGCTCACCGAGAGGGAGTTCCTCGCCGCGTGGTGGCAAATGGTAAAGTGTAGGTAAGTATTCTTTCATCCTCGTGCTCTTTGTACATGCATCCAATATTCTGACAGGCCATCGCGCCCTCTGGGAAAGGGGTGTACATCACTGCAACGTCAGTCTCAGCAATATCATGGGATACCACTTACATGGTCAATTTGTAGGCGTGCTCAACGACTACGACTTATCGTCATCTTACCTTCCTCCTACATACCACCTCCTATGAATTGCATTTATGCCATATTGTAATCATTTCGTTCGACATGTAGTACTCTTCTTCCATTTCTTCGCGGTATGATTGGGCAATCCACTCAAAATGGAGATACACGCCATTGCAAAATTACAGTCGGAATTAGGCAACTGAAACCGTGTGTCATGTTGTCAATACTGACTTGATACTGTAAACACTTAATTGGTTGGACAAAAGATGCTGGAAAGCGGAACTACGTGTTCTCGAATGTGCACGCTTAGCCTCCATGATTGTTGTATTCTATTCATTACAAAGTCATAGTGGTACCCAAGACCGTCGCTTCTTGCCTGTGACCGTTCATTCTACAAAGCGACTTATAAGGGAGGCACGCTACCTCAACTACAAGTACGTCTACGATTGTCATGCTCTAGCTTAGGCCTCTCAAGCAACAACTGAAAAGCCAATTCATCGGTCAGTTTGCGGTACTCGTATGCAGTATAAAGTGACTGGACCGCCGAAAAGCACCTCCTTACAAGGTCCCAGGACTCTGCGTGTGATGTGGATGGACGCACGCTTCTGATCCCCGTAAAGCCAAAGTTGCCCTTTTCCTTTGCGCATGTACGAGCATCCACTTTCAGCCATTCTTCCAATGGTCTGTTCTTGCTGAGGAGGTTTCCACCTTCATACCGAAGACAGACCCAGGTGAGGACCCAGATCAACGATTCAGCATCATGCGCATACAGATGCTCGACCTTGCCTGCCATGGCGTCTGGCGAGAGAAGCTCTACCGCCATGAATGGTACCGTTCCGGTGCGCTCGAGGCCCCTGGGACCATCACGTTTAAACGACGATAAGTCGTAGTCGTTGAGAACGCCTATGTATTGACCGCATAAGCGGTACACCATGAGATTGCTAGGGCTGACGTCCCGATGAAGAACGCCTCGCTTCCAGAGGGCGCGATGGCCTATCGAGTAGTGGATAAATGATGAAGAGCAGGAGAACGGGAAAAAAACTTACACTTCACAACTTGCCACCA